TTTTCCGGATTTCATATCATATAAACACCAAATCCCAGCATGCATTGCGGCTAAAACATCCAATCAGCAAGCTTAAACCATAGCTGAGGATCTTGGGTAATCGCTCGAAATGCCTACGTCTGTTTCCGGTTATTTTTATTTTGAAATTCAGTTCCTGACGGACGCCAAAACAGCCCGAGATTATGGAATTAAACCAATAAATAAAAGCAAGGATAATTGTGTGTTATTGGTGAGTAAATAACAGTGTGTTATTTTGAAAAGAATAACAAATTAGAAGGAAAAAAAGATTTAAAAAATACAGTTTTCAGTATTCTGAGGCTCTGAGCCCCATTTATTTTCCTCACAGACGGAAACAAAAGTCCGAAATTATACGATTTAAAATAAAAGCAATAATTGTGGCTTGATATTGAGTAAGAACATATTTTTATGAACCACACAGCTTCCGGTCTGCCATGACCCGACCGGAGAAAAAGACGTGCTGCAGGCACGAAACACATTACCAGTAGAAATACATTGCTTTTAAAATCGTGGTGTGCAACACGAATCAATAGATTAAAAATCGTGTTGGTGAACACTAGTGCTGGGGGGAAACGATTATTTTGAAAACGATTAATCGGGCGATTATTTGATCGATTAGTCGACTAATCTAATGATTATTTTTCTGTTGTTCAATTCATAAAAAACGTAATGTAAAAAAAACGTAATGTAAAAACAATTTTTTTCACGATGCTGTGTCTCAGGGGATCTTAATATTTAAGAACCTATTAATGTGTTATACCAGATTAACGGAAATAATCTCAGCTAACTGACGATACAAACCATGTTTACCAAAACAAAACACAAGTCTCATAAGAAGCATCTAAATGACCCCTGAGCGAAAAATGCTAACGGACATTGGCACAGAACTCAAGATAAAAGTACCCTTATTACTTATCGTAGCTGCACATACAATATATCCGATTAAAGCTGAGACTCCACAGATGATGTAGGTATATAGTATCATCACTGAGTGATCCGGACTCGCGACAGGGGAAGCAAATACAGTCATCACAACACGTACCTTCACAGAGCTTCTCGGGAGATCGTCTCACCACCGTAATCTGATCAAAAGACGTGTTCAATGGCAATAAAATGAGAAAAAACACGGCTGAATCGGTTAATCCATAGGTTTTTAACGTCTATGTATAAAAAAATGATTGCATTTATAATCCATAATTCCATTGTATGTAAAAATCGGAGAGCAAATGCTAGCTGCTAATGGTAGCCACCACAGCTAGCTGCTGCTTCTGCTAGGCTATGCAGCAGTCTCAGTGAGATATAAATATATAAATATCTTTGCGTTTTGGACTAACTTTAAAATATTCCCATGCTTTTGAAGACCTAGGGCGAGATGTTTTCGTTTGGGAGCTTCGTGCGCAATCCTGTGAGGAGGAGGTGGTAGCCGTTTCAGTCTCCATTGTGTTTGAAGTGCGATTGCGAACTGCTTGTTGCTTTGGGTGACCCACGTGTGTGTAGCGACGTGTCGACGCGGAAATATGTCGTCGACGATATTTTGAAGTCGACGCGTCGACATCGTCGACGCGTCGCTACAGCACTAGTGAACACGAAATGCCATGAGACTGGGTTGAGTTCAGAGACCAGACCAGTACTCTGACGCTTTTAAAATTAACTTCAAGATTTTAACAGTGTGAGGGGCACAAAGGCCATGGTGGCCGTAGGACGTACAATTATTTTCGGGGCTTAACGGCCAGACCGAGGGGCTACGATGGCCATGGCCGTCATGGCCGCCGTGAAAATCCTACCCTGGTCAGCAGGGTGAAAATACTTGTGACTTGATCCCATAATCACCAAATTATCATAAGCATCCAGATATTGAAGAGACCTATTCAGAAAGAAAGCAACATGCTGATTTGAATGAGGTGTGAGCTTTTGTCAGGATCTATAATAGACAGATACACAAAAACTCCTTATCCTGTGTTTGGCATGCCCTGTTTACCGAAGTTGATCCAGTCCTGCAAAATAAAGCAATGTGGTTCCTTCACAACAATAAAAAACACAAATTCTTCAAGATTTTACCTCTCAAATCTTTAACCATCAGAGAATATTCAAGTTGTTGTATATACCAACAATGGATATACCTACACTCTGTCATAAGTTTAGAAGTTATAATGCAAAATACTCATTTAAAAAAGCTCAATATTGAAGGGATTTATTATTAGGAGGAACACAAAGGTATGGGCGTTAGCTTTTAAGAATTGTCTGTTTGCTGTTCTTCCTCTGGCACATTTAAAGCTTTTTATTTAACACAATAATCTCTAAAACAATATTCAAGAACAGCAGTGATTGGAACCCATTTCCATCGGCCTCTTCATACCATCCAATCCATCGCAAATCTTTTCAGTGTTATTACAGCCCCGTTTTGGAAGGTCACTGTTTTTGAAGGTTTCTAAGAAAAATGTCATCGGAGGAGAAGAGAGACTTAAGCCCTTTCTCATTTCATCAAATCCCCCTCCTCGACTCCTCGGTCCTCCGGTACGGTAGTGACCCGGAAATGGATTTCAGCGCGCCATGTTGAAGGACATCTCATTTCTCTAAATGCACTTCGAGGACCGAGGACCGAGCATCGAGCATCGAGCATCGAGCATCGAGGAGGCTCTCTGGAGGAGCTCTAACCGAGGAGACACTGATGGGTCCTCCACGGCTCCTTCGCTGATGCATTTCCGGGAACAGAGATGTTTCAAAGAGTCGTGACGCACGGCCGGACTTATCTCAGCCAATTACAGCTCTGCATGCATCCCCTGGATATTATTTTATTAACTGCTCTCATCGCGACGCGATATTTACAGAGAGAACAGCTGTCCGTGCAGAAAGCAGAGCAGTGTGTATAATATATATCACTCAGTATAACAGGCCTACTCTCTTTATTTGCTTTAGTTTAGTAGATATCTACAAACAAAGAGTCGATATTTTTCTAAAACCATTTAGTGCTTCACATAATAGAATACACAACGGCTGTAGCCTGATTATGTGTAGGTGTGTGTGGTACAGTGTGTGCGTAGATGCAGCGGATAGACAGGTCTCAGTTGGTTTGGTGTCCTCTGCTTATGGAGGACGGAACATGACTTAAGTATAAATAAATAAATGTATGAAGAAATACAGGAATAAATAAATTACGTACATAAATACAGGAATAAATAAATAAATACGTAAATAAATAAATAAATACAGGAATAAATAAATGACGAAATAAATACAGAAATAAATAAATGTTGAAATGAATACACAAATAAATAAATAAAAGAATAAATGCATAAATAAATATGGAAATAAATACATCAATGTATAAATAAATAAATGTCGAAAATAAAACAGAACACACGTTATTATTATATATCTTTCATTTATTTCTACATTTACGCGACATACATTTATTTATTTATGTATTTATGTGTCCGTATGCTAATGAGGTGGGCGGTCCTAACCTCAGTCTGAAGCAGGATTCGCCAATTGTTGGAGCCAGGCAGAAGCAATAGATTTGTGGCAAGTCACATCATGTCGAGCTGAGCCAAGTCCTCTATACATCGTTCCACACGAAACTGGACATAATCTTTTGGTTCTCCGTTCTCTAAATGGTCCGCTAATGATCGTAAATGATCTCCAATGGCTCTTAAATCAATATCCATAAATAAACCTTACAACTGTGGATAAACCATGGATGTATAAAGATAAGGGCTAAACAGTAAAGCTCCTGCATTCGAATCAGCGCGGTTATCCAGGCGTTAGTAGTAGAGCCCTCTGCCAGAAATGATCACACACTCCTGTAACCAATCCTGCTTCAGACTGAGGTTAGGACCGCCCACCTCATTAGCATACGGACACATAAATACATAAATAAATAAATGTATGTTGCGTAAATGTAGAAATAAATGAAAGATATATAATAACGTGTGTTCTGTTTTATTTTCGACTTTTATTTATTTATTTATACATTGATGTATTTATTTCCATATTTATTTATGCATTTATGTATGCATTTATTCTTTTATTTATTTATTTGTGTATTCATTTCAACATTTATTTATTTCTGTATTTATTTCGTCATTTATTTATTCCTGTATTTATTTATTCCTGTATTTATTTATTAATTTACGTATTTATTTATTTATTCCTGTATTTCTTCATACATTTATTTATTTATACTTAAGTCATGTTCCGTCCTCCATATCTGCTTACTTTTAATACTTGTAAATAAAAGTTTTGGCCCGTAATTTATTTTCCTCATTGTAGCGACCAGAGAGGGGGGAGATATATCCAGCCTCTGATAGTGTTACGTTATTATGAGAGTGCTCTGTTTGATTCTGAAATTGTATATATATGTATATAAATATATACATATATATATGTGTGTGTGTGTGTCCGCATCTGTAGCCTGTTATTGTCTCATTATACCGCACTGTGAATGAATTAAAAGTAAATATACAAGTCATCATGAACACATCTGTCCATCAGACAGAGTGCTGCTGTGCCTCCTGTCATCATTAATGGACGTCTCTTTAAAATGACCGCTCAGAGGAGAGGAGTTCTCATTTCTCTAACCGCCTGCTGCTTCCCCTCCTCTCTCCTCGGTTCCCCTCCTCAGTCCACCGCTCGCATCTCCTTTGGGCGGGACCAAGTCTCGAGGATAGGAGTCGAGGAGGGGAGTCGAGGAGGGGAGTTAGAGAAATGAGAAAGGGCCATGGTGTAGTTTGCTGTGGTTATTTTAGGGTTGTGATTATGTTCATTTCAGGTTCTATATACTGTCCAATAATATATGTAAACTTACTATTTGAAAAATAAGGCAATCAACGAGACATTTAACAAACGCAACGATGCGTCCTTGCTGATAGACCACTGTATGATTTCTGCTTTTGAGCATTGGTTTTCGTCACTCATGTTTTTATTTTCTTCTTGCTCCTCCTTGTTACCCTCCTCCTCCCCTTTCCTCACTCTCCACTCTACAGTTTGACATCAACCAGCTGCTGACCTCAGTGAATGTAAGCCAAAACCTCAGTCCCATCCACAAGCCGCTCGACTCTCCCAGCAGCAATGCCAGCGATCGCAACAGCAACGGCGGTGCTAGCGTGGGCGGATCCAGTGTGGGCGGGGCCAGTGTGTGCGGGGCCAGCGGCGTGGGCATGGAGCAGTCGCCGGTGGACCGCGCCAAGTGCTTTTTTCCTGACGAGTCTGAGCCCCTGCTTCGCTGTGACTCCACCTCCAGCAAAGACTCCGCCCTCAGCAGGAACGGCTCCTTCATTACCAAAGGTTAGCTGCACCATTAGCATGCTGGAAGGAGTTTAAAGTGAACACTATTTGACCTGGTCAACACGTACATGTGTTTTTATTAGGACTGTCAGTCGATTACAATATTTAATCGCGATTAATCGCATGATTGTCCATAGTTAATCGCGATTAATCGCACATTTTGTATCTGTTCTAAATGTTCCTTAGAGGGATATTTTTCAAGTTTGTAATACTCTTATCAACATATGAGTGGACAAATATGCTTTATGCAAATGTTTGTTTATTATCATTTCAACAATGACAAATATTCTCATGAATATTAAACACAACAACCTCTGAACATTACAAATATTCACCTCAATTCAACCTGGAACCTCTCTCATACAATACAATAATATAATACAAAGTGTGTGTGTGTGTCGGCGCAGTTGTCGGCGAAATGCCGCTCCTCTGTTTTCATAACTGTCAAAGCATGAGACTGAAGTTCCCACTGTGGGTCAAAAGAATGCGCTGTGACCCCGAGGTAACTGTCATTACTGAGTGAAGTCCAGTCTCCGGTGAGCGCAACAGTGGAAGTCTTTTTTAAATCCGCCTCTACTTTTGCTTTTTGGACTTCATACAAGTTGTGTATTTTCGACACAGTGGTGGCTCTGGAAGGCAATTCATAAGTGTAGTGGTTGGATGCGACCCAAATTATATCATGCAGCCCCTCGTCCTCCACAATGTTAATTGGCCTGCAAGCTGTAACCACCCATTTAGCGATCTTTGTTGAAAGTTTGCTGCTCGTAGACGTGTCCAGGCGTCTCCCCCGCACACTTTCAAGTGTGGTCTGCCGCAAGCAGGCGGCAGGAGTGGGGCTGTCGGCATCAGCAGTGTGCTTGGATTTTATAGATGATATTTTAAACTCGATGAGCTCTGAAACTACGGGGCGGCCGAGGACAAAAAATGCACATGCCTTAATCGCGTTAAAATAATTTGTGGCGGTCCTTTTTTGTTTGCGTTAACGCGTTATTAACGCATTAACGCCAATTTAACTGCCAGAGCCAATTTATAAATGGAGGAAATCAATGTTAGTCTGTTAACCAAAGTGCAGCCATCTAATAATGTACTATCTGTTATTAAAGATCAGAGGAAAATAACAGAATGAGAGGGGTAAATCCGGAATACAAATAAAGAAGCAAAGATATTGTAGAGCAGTGAGAAAGAAAAAAGCTTGGTGTGTCAATTCATTACATTGCCAGTATTTTTCGTTTTTGTGAAAAAAAAAAAATCTTCCCCTCGGATTTTTTAACAGCCCCCTCAGTAATTTCATCCTGGAGCCTGTTAGAAATTAAAATCAATGTTTTGATGGCATAAAGCAGCTTAAACATACCGTCAGTTTAAATGCTATTTTATTCTGGAAAAAACCGGAAGTTCTCAATAACAAGCTTTTATTCTGAAAATCCTTCATGACGACATCCGGGACTACCGTCCATTAGTATCATTAAAGTGGCTATTGACGCAGTTAACATGTATTGCATATAAAGTTATGAAAGAGATAAGGAGGAGAAAAGGCATGTGGAAGTAAGCAATGAATGTAAAATGTCGAAATCCTCCGTTTAACGCAATATCGGACACAGAAGACCGAGGGGGAAGTCTCCTACGTCACCACAGCCCCCAGAGAGGAGGAGCAAACAGCCAGCAAGCGGGAAGGACGAATGCTTGTGGGTTCTCTTCTGCTCGGCCGCGACTGCGAGAGGAGGCTGCAGCCTTTCTCTCCTCACTACATTATGCTTTTAACATTACTGCGCCTTTTATTAATTAAAGTACCCATTTGAACCTTCTCAGAGATTCCATTCGTCTCCCTTTTTAAAGCTTCTCTCCTGGACGCGAGAATAACAAACTGAGGATAACAAGCCGGGCCTGAATAGCACTATCTTTTTTTGGAAAGGAAAATACTATATATAAATATATTCATATGTACTTGGCAAATTAATAATAATAATAATAATAATAATAATAATATATGCATATAATAATATATGCATAATTGCATATAAACATTGTGAACTTTTTTTACATTCATATGTTCACGCTGTGGTTTGGAACTGCTTTTGAATGTTATTAGGCATTTTGTTATGGAAAATGTTGTGCATAATCAGTACTGTTTTAAGCTGTACTATGTCAACACATTTTAATAGATTGAGTTTTTTTAAATATGGGAGTTGTATTTACCAACACCACAGACTATTCGTAATACTTGTTTTTGGGATGTTATAATTGTTTGTAGATTTGTTGAGTACGTGTTTCCCCATATTTCGGAGCAGTATTAAAGGTAAGGGAGAAATAGACTGTTATAAAGAGCATTTTTTCTTCAAGAATGTTCTTAGTATGATACGAAATACATATTGTTTTTGACAGTTTAGTCTGTACATAATTTATATGGTGCTTCCAATTGAGTTTTTCGTCAACAAGCAGTCCTAAAAATGTACATGCACAAACTTTTTCTATCTCGGTATTGCAAATCCGTATAATACAGTCATTTCTACTCTCAGACTTTGTATTGAATAACATGTAATTTGTTTTGGCCACATTAAGGGATAATTTATTAACTGCAAACCAGTTACATAGTATTTCTAATTCTGCATTCACAATTTTAATAAGATTGCCAAGATTATGATGGGAGCAGAGAATTCAAAGTTCAGGTTCAGCCTCAATATATTTGGGGAGAATTAAAATGAGCCGTCTTTATTTTTAGACAGCCAAGCCCCCTCCTGTGTTCGGTGAAGCATGATATGCTTAAAAATCCAATGTAGGATATAAACACGACTAAACTGCAATGATAGCAAAGCTGCGGCTTGTGTTTTTTGGTAATAAAGTCCAAATCATCGTTGGGCTGTCAGCCAATGAGTGACGTCTGAGGAAGATGAAAAATGTTAATTAAACATTGTTGAGAAAATGCTACATCTCTTGCATTTATTGACATACAGTAGAGGAGCCTTATTGTTTACCTTTTTAATATCATTTTTTGTAATTTTCAATTGCTTGGTTTTCGTGAAATTAGTAAATTAGTTTTCCTATTAAAGTGTAACAGATTGATGCATCTCCACAGATCATCTTAAAGGCTTCGGAATCCCCCCCATTATAGTTAAAAAACTGTAAAAACTAGGGCCCCCAAAAAACAGCATCTTGCATAGGGCCCCAAAAATCTAGAAACGGCCCTGGATGTTGCGAAGCTAGTTAGTGATTGGCCAGGGACTATCTTTAAAAGAGGTTACTCTAAAGATCTTTGGGTACCACTTTACAATAATGCCTTAGCCACACGGAGACGAAACGTGTCGTATCCGCTACAGTTCTCTATCATATAGACGGTTCGGCCACACAAGGCCGACAGGGAAACACAGATAACGATAATGATAACGATAATGGGTCCCAAGGAGGGTAGATCTGCAGACACAACGGCTCTGTGATTACGCCCTATACGATCATTTCCTGATAACGAAAATACTGACGGGCTGTCAGGAGAGGGGGAGGAAAAGAGAGACTCTGTGTATTGTTATTAATTTGTTTTAAAGCTCAATAAATAACAAAGAAGACCTTTGACCCGCACTTTTATAATTTTGTCCGGAAGATTTCAACTCGAACGGACATGTTGACCAGCAAAAGAAAATTATAACGGAAACTGTGCTGCACGGTCCCCTCGTCCCTTGGAAGAAGCGGGTGGGTGTTTTTCAACTGCTTGTGGACTAACCAGAGAGAATTACAGCAGGAGGACACGTTTGCCTCTGGGAGGGAGAAAAATAACCAGAGCCCTGCCTCTCCCCACCTCTGCTGCTAAATCCAACGCGGAGAATAAACAGAAGGGCAACCATGCATACACGGGAAGTCTTCTTCGCTGCTTTTGGTGTATTTTCTGGCAGCGCCACTTACAGGCCCGGCATATGTATTACAGCGACTCCAGCGGGTCGAGCGGTCTCATGTGGACGGACACGTTTCTGGTGCCGATTGCGTGTGGACGGAAGACTTTTTTGATATCGAATTCGGTTAATTTTCGTTACCGTCTCCGTGTGGCTAGGGCCTTAGGACTACCCTTATAAAGGGTTTACGAATAGTTTGTAATTAATTTATTAATTAGATTGTGAACACTTTATAAATCATGAATAAGCTTTTATAAGACATGAGATTTGTCCAAACATTTAGCAAAAGTGCACCACATTCAGACAGAGAACTGCACCGTTTTCGACTGTCTTTCTTGTAGCGTCGCGTATGTTATGTATGCTAGCAGCAACACACAGTTAACTCATTATTCAAACATGGGTTAATGATTATTGGTAACTGAGTTATTTATTTTGTTAAAGTTTCAGCTATTCTATTTACAGTTCTGTCATCACATTCTTTAATACGATTTGTTAAAACATTGTTGTTTCTTTTGATGTGAAATATTATGTATTTAATTTAAATAAAAAGCAATGTTAGTTTTTTTCACAATTTGTTTTGTTAGTTTACCTTATTTTTTCTCTCCAAAAGAACCGAAAGATAAGCGGTATCAATAAAAGTAGTACAGATGTAGCACCTAATTTCGGACAGTTTGAAACGCGAGGGCCGTGATTGGTACGTGATCTGCCCTCGCTCAAGGGAAAACCTCCAGCTTGACTTGAGACCGCCCCCGTGATAAATAAATGTAATTATAATGAAGCCAGCTGCAATGGATTATTGATCCACCAGGGGGTGCAGTGGGGTTCCACACTGGAGCTCATGTGAAATAAAGTCAGATACCGTACACTGGATGTACAGCGGAACTTTGTTAAGATCCATATGTCACGGATATCATACTCTGTGCTAAATAAGAGACATGTAATCATTTACAAAACATCACCATGTTGTTATTTAACAAAATAATGTTGCTTAGTCGAAAAAAATGAACGGGAGGAAATGCAGCCCGGCTCTCGATTTTTAATCCTAATTTAATCATCATCTTCACCACGATCATTTATGTTTATGTTCGCCAAATTGACATGAAATCACTGACACATATGAATATA